CCTTTAAAGTTTTTTCAAAACAAGTTGCGCAGGTCAAGAGCATCAAAAAACGACAAATGTAAAGCTGCTTTAGGAAGGTAATAGCCCACAATTCACAAAATTTAAGACTTTCCAAGTGGTACTTCTATAGTGAGGTTTCTCCATCGGCTACAAAGATCTTCGCGGTTAACTGTCGCCACTGATTCAATACAAGTGGCTGCTATTGCACATATTTGAGTTTCAGTCAATCACTTACATGGTGCAGCTGGTTGCACACTGGGAACAGCCATTCTTGTAAGCCTTGTGTGCCCAGGGTCCATGAAACTTTGAGCAGTAAAATGGGCGCTACAAACCCTGTATGTTGCGTAACATAGGCTGGCCGGCTTACTCAGGAGATCATCGCGTCCAGCATACTGCATCCATGCTTTCATCCTGCATTGGCAATGAACTATCAGCTGAAAGGGGAAGTGCTTGAACAGTGATTTTTTATTGTTACCCTCACGGAGCAAGTACGAACAGTAAGCCTAAAGACATGCAAACCATAGAAAAGCTTTAACACACCTGCCATCCCGTGGTATGCGGAAGAAACTCGTCCCAGGCTTCTTGTGGGCTCTGCCATTGTTGCAGCACCACGATACACAGCAGTAGCTGCCGTAGCTTGGACCGCCCACGGCATGGCATCAGCGCGGTCTGAAAATGTTAGTAAGTGGATGCTTCGCTGTCAAATTACGAAAAAGATATGTGCACGTCACAAGTGTACCAGCAAATCCCTTTGAATGATTAGCTAATCAACGCACAATACAAAACCAGTGATACATCTCTGACCCATAAAACTCTGACTTACAAAGATAGATGTCAAGACCACGTACAAAGATCTTCAGAAGTTTCCAGGCCGATATCCCTTGTAATGCAATGGTATCGCGGCCTGGGAACTTTAGAACACCTTCGTGCGTACGCAGTATCAGCAGTACATTGGGAAGAAAAATCGTAGTTGAAATTTGTGCGGTAAAATTATATTGGAAACGTCAAAAAATTTGTGGGCAGCTTGCACTAGTGGCACAAGGCTAGCGAAGAAACGAAGATGATGGCCACTTGGCTAGTCCAGATTTGCCTCCGGCACACCAAGAATTATTCGTGTTCCGAGCCTTCGGGAAACGCGTCGTGAAGCATGCGAGGCCCAGCGAACGCTTCTCAATATTTTGCACCGAGCCTATGACCTAGCTACCCAGCTATGCTCAGCGCACAGACGCTCGCGTCCGTGGCAGACGCAGCACGTGTCGCCTCGGCTTGACGCCGTGCCGCCTTTGCTATACTGCATACGTTGCACAATGTTCCCGTTTAGCCGCCGCATAGAGCCACAAACTTTCTTTTTAGCGAACCTCCCCGTCCTTACAAGATTCAGAAAAAGGTTACAACTGCGTGAATGAGACGCCACGTAAGAAACAAACTCGCACACACGAAGCGCAACGTGCGTGTGTGCATCTTTCTATGTTTGTTGCATGGTGTCTTATTCGCGCAGGTGTAACCGTTTTTTCAAAAAAAAAAATGACCCAACAAGCCCAACAACATGTCATTCAACAAGCTTCGCTTGAAAACATGCCTCACCTGTTATCTCACGCACGAAAACGCCGACGCCGCCGACGTTGACGAGAGCGACGAAAGCTTCCTGCTGTCAGTCATGCATGAGCTTGTCGCTGGGTGGATGGTGTTTATGACAGTACGGCTGAAGAAAAGTAATCGCGTAAGGTGTGTTGAATAAATTGTTTTTATGTATAAAAAACATACCAAATTTGGGCGTATAAATATTATTTTGTAAAAACAATTTTGTTTCAATGACTATAACTATTTTTTTTTTGCGCTTGCGTGCTCTGACGTTTGGTGAGAGCACTAGTTCGTTACGTAGCCGCACGGAGCGTAGTCGTAACGCACAAGAATGGGCATGATTAAGAAGTCCGCACTAGAGACCTATCGAACCTTTAAGCAGGAAATTGCCAAGGAAAGGATCTATGATAATACTCGGGGTAGTTCTCTACTGTTTGAGGCCAGCACGGAAGTACTGCGAACCAAGACATATCGGGCCAGATACGAAGGGGTAGACACAGTATGCAGTGCGTGTGGAGAAGAAGAAGAAACTGCCGAACACTTGATAATGTTCTGTAAAGGGCTTCACCCTATAGTTCAGGATGATGGCGCTGAGTTTTTCAAAGCACTGGGGTTTAGGGATCGGGAGGGCAAAATAGACTTTAAGTGGGTAGACTTAACTAGAAGAAGGTTATCTGATTGGTGTCTAAATTCAAGGCACGAGTGAAAATAAACCCTTCACTGCAAAGTTCGAATCCTCAAACTCACTTTTTAAAGAAAAAAAATCTAGTTTTTGGTTAATTAAGTATATTAGGTATTACGGCTTAGTGGCGCTAGCCACGGCCCGATCTAAAGGGTACAGGCATATCTATCCATCCATTCTGTCTTGTCTTTTTTCTTTCTCTATGAGCGCCTAGTGGTGATGATGATGACGTAAATTGAAGATTATTATGACCGCGCACAAATTTACTAAGTTTGCTGCTTTTATTATTAAATAAAAAAGTATTATTACGATTGAAAATGTACACTGCTGTGCAAAGCAGAGAGCCTAAATATTTGGTTCACAACTCGCTGTGCATTGCCGCTGAGGTTAGCGAGTTCACATGCTGGGAACGTTGGGACTTCGCTTGTAACTTCTGACTATGGTGGCTAGAATTGGTGTAACTTCTGACTATGGTGGCTCATTTTCTCAAAGCCATTGGGATGCACAACCGATTTGCTAATATGAGGCATGGCTTTGAGAGTCGTGTCATGCTGTTCATCAAGCTTCCGGGCACAGTCAATAGGGTCAACACTGGCATGGCCTTCTGGCAGTTTCACGCCCGTTCGAACAAAGGTGTTCCTCACACATTTAAGAAGGTGTGGGAAGTCCGAGATGAAGTGCAGAAAACGTTCTGGGTCTGTAGGGTGCTGCCTTCTACATACTGTGTTTTCTTTCCTGCCGTGTATGCCGAATGAGTGCCACATGCTTCTGTTCCACGCAGCTCCATCAGTGGTGATAAAGTCTACGTGCAGACCGGCGTTTTCGCTCATGACTACTGCTTCGAGGATTATTTTGCCTAACGTCTCGGACTTCACATTGCTGCGTGATGCGAACACACCAATAATCTGGTGCCACGTGCCTGTAAAAGGCACGAACAATACTACAAGGCCATGGTCACATGCTACGGAGCGCTCACTCTCTGGTGTGAACTTCCCAAGGTCCACAAAACCTTCGATGGTGCCATCGGTTCCCAAGCTCAAGTGTTCAGATAGCTTAATCTCATCAATTAACAGCCCACCATGGCGCTGGAACAAGTCCATAGATTTTGTTTTTTCCGCCACAGCAGCAAACACTTTTTCGCACAGGCCGAATCCACTCCTGTAACGCTTGAGATATCGACGTAGTGATGTTCGAGAAGGCAACGCCATGATGTTGTTTTTGCGTATATGCTCATAGAGGCGTGGGCTTTTCATGGACATAATAAGGCACTCTAGAGCCCATTCACTTTCATACTTCATCCCTTTCGTGGATTTTCTTTTAGCCGCAGCAAAGCACGCCTTCACTTGTTGCTGCTGCTTAATGGGTAGGGCCTTCACCGCTTCTTCAAATGCTGTAGAATCATTCCGTGCATTCTTTTCTTTCATTTGTTTGATGAGTGATTTAGCCTGCAGGACACTCAGGCGACTCCTTTTCGCTTGCGCTGTTCGCAGCTTAAGCCTGTATGAAAGCTTTTGGGACTGGGCCACATTTTTGCCTTTTCTTCGCCTGTAGGACTCACGATTCAGGAGTAGTCTTCTGAGGTGCTTGCATTGTGGGCAGGCTTTTTCTGGCGTTGGAGCAACCCCACGGCAAGATGGGCTGAAGGTTCTGCCATCAAAAGTCTTCTCCTTGTACTTTAAATTCACTCCAAATTCACCAGTTTTACCAAACCCTCTGCATGGTATCATGGAGTCGACGTCGCGAAGCAACTCTTCTGCCATTTCGATGTCGGTAATGTCAAGGGTCTTTATTTTTGTGGCTTGCACAAAAGCTGTCGCTTGAAGTTTGTTTTCATCTGATGTCATTAGCACATACTTGTCAATAGTCAACTTGTCACCATCTAGTGCGCAAACTGTAAACACCGTGGCGTTGTCGGCTCCAGCAATTAGATGTCGAGCCCAGTAAGCGCTGGGAAGACCACACTTGCGGACGTCGGGAATTGCGGGCACATTCGGAACAGGTATTTGGTTACTGTCGCTTTCTGTGCTGTACGAGCCAGCTGTCTCCTCGCAAGCAGACGTGCTTGGTTCCTGACGCCGAATTTTCGATGGTAGGCCGCAAGTGGATGTTCTTGACGTCCTTTTCTTCGGCACTTTCTTTGAAAGATACGCAGGAACATTTGGGAATATGGTTGGCACCGCGTCAGATTTCAGCACTGGTTTCCCTCGGGGAATCTAAACAGTTTCGCCGTTTATCACATGCGTGTAAAAACGCTCAATAAACTGCTCGTCGAAATGAAGCTCACATAGCGCCGACTTCACGTCCAACGACTTGTCGGCACGGGGTACGGCTCGTTGCCAGGCTTCGAAGAGGGCAGGGTCTTTGGGAACAGAGAAAAGAGAAGCACGCTGACCTTGCTCCCTCGATGACACATAGCCGCTCGTGCAGCCAGGAGCAAAGCAGTGGCGTTGCCTCGCTTTCGTAGTGCTGGAGTTCATCCTAAGGTCGGCACTCACACTGTCATGTCAGCAACTAAATACATTTTGCCATAAGCGAGACATCAACGCGGAAAACTGCACACACCCAGACACGCTTCCAGAGGCGAACCAGCGAACCCAGCGGCGAGTCGACGAGAGAGCGCGGAGCGCGCGCTTCGCCCGCATCACTATGCCGACAGGAGCGCCGTGGTGGCCGTCGCGGCGGCGCTTGAAAACGAGGATCGCGCGCGCTCGGCGAATATGCGGGCGCTGGCGTCACCTCCCAATTCTAGCCACCATACTTCTGACCAGTGAACAACTGCGGTTGTCCGCTCAAATTTGAACCGTTTGAAACGTTAGAAGCCGGCAGCTAGTTTGCGTCGTTGTTAGTAAGCCAGATGGAAGTCGCGATGCAGGACGAAGAGAAGAATGTCGAGGAAAGCGCGGACGCAACCGGCGCTCGTAAGCGACGCTTCTACAAGTTCGGCGAACGCGTCAGCATGGAGGAAGGTCAACGCATTGAATTCAAGGCACACAAGCTCATGGCAATCGAAGAGCTGCCGCCGGCTTGCCAGGACCAGCACTCTAAGCAGACCATCTCAAGGTAATACATTAGTCATTTAATTTGAATGACTTGCCGACACACGTATTCCGTGAGGGCGACGCGCAACGCCGCACTTACTAGCTCGATATCGTGACTTATTGCAGAGAATGCTCAGAAAAAGAATACCTCAATTTCATGAACCACAAAAGAAACGTACGCAATTTATTATGATGCATTTACAACGACAAATGTGTAATGGTTACGTTATATAGGGGACTCCAGTGATTGTCCGTTCGGTCAGAAAAGGACATTGCATAAGAGCTACTGAGATAAAAAAAATATGGTGCTAAGTTAATAAGCTCATCAGACTTTTTATTAAAGATGTTCAGGCGCTGAATTATTCATTTGTAGCCTTAGTGCACCGTCAAGAACACGTGACAATAGCAAGTTTTAGTATAGCGTTCCGCGAGTCCTTGCGGTGCGGTTTCTGCCACTGCGCATGCGTCGTAACGCGAGCCGCCGTTCGCGGCCCGCCCGCACAAAATCCGAAATAGCGGGCGGTGTATGTGGCTCCCAAACGCTGGTTTCGGGGCTACGGTGCCGCTGCGATTGTGCGTTGCGGTTTGCAGGAGGGCAAACGCTATTCTTAAGCTCATATGACGCCCGCAGCGCCTGCAAACGTTATTCTAAAACTGCCTAATGTAGTTACAAAGTGGTAACGTTTCCCCTGCTCTCGGTTGTAGTGCACAAACACATGGTGTGGTTTTAAGTGTGTTAGTGCATGTGTTAAATGCGGAAGTGTGGGAATTTGTAACGTGTTACAACTATAGTACATGTACTTCAGTGAATTTTTTGTTAAAATTTTCACCTGTTCAGGAAAATTCTAGCTACGGAATTAAATATTTTGAGTGTGTTTTAGTATTGTGGCTCACGATAGCTTAATTAGTATTAGGTTCAATTTCAACACATCAGCTGATAGAATATCTACATGTGCACATGCCAACTGTTAAAATTGTTGAAATTCACACTTACCATATGAAATTGACTTTATGGATTCTTATCCGATTTATGTTTTTAAAGAATTTGACTGCAACTGATTCATATAAACTCTATGTCACTGTGTTTAATTGACATCACGCAGAACTATCTGTGCCTTCTTGAACACTGGAAGAGGTGGGACTATTTTTCTGGGAATCCTTGACAATGGTGATGTCAACGGTCTCCATCTCACAGAATACCAAGTGAGTCAGTGAAGGACTGTGTATAGCCTATGACTTATTGCTTTTGCGAGATCGCAAAGCTTGCAGCAGGGCTCTGCACCTCGTTTTACTGCTTTGTCGTTATAGAGGCAAGATAACTGCATGAGCTTGTTCGAATGTGATAGTCAATAACTGGGCGTGTTGGTACTCCATGATTCGAAATAGAAAGTGCAAAGAAGACGACGGACAAAAAGGAGACGCACAAAGTGCGCCACTTGTAACAATGTTTATTCCAAGAAAAATGAAATATACCTATGCAGACTGTCGCATTTCATTGCTGCGCAGTCACATTGAGATATCGCAACTCTTTCTGAGATAGAAGTACGAAGTCCACACCAGCGCAATTATTCCCGGCTTTAATTATCTTTTTGCCTGAGATATTAGTTTGTTCCACTTGTCACGACTCTTGGCAATCGCGGATGGTGTGCAAAAAACCAGTACACCCTTTCAATCTGTGCATTGTATTGCAAGGTGATACTCTCTGACATTTCTAACATTGTTACAATACTGTAGGAGCCTGTCGTTAAGCATTGCTCAGTTTGGCCTACGTACTTGCCACAAGACAAAGGAATATCGTAGACCACACCAGTCTGGCATTCGGCATATTTACTTTCGTGGTTTTTTATACAGGCTGTTGCTTTTTCAAGGCAAGGGTTTGTCATTTCGCAAAGTTTAAACATTTTCAAAGGTGCAGAGACGATCACCTTTACATCTGCTTGCTTAGCAATCTTCGAGTTATGGGACACACTATGAACATATGGTATCACGGCTTTCTTTGCTTTTTACACTAGTTGACTCTCAGTCCGCTTGGCGGGTTCGTGATTGATTTTTTAAAGATTGTTTCAGCTACACAGCGCCTGTGTGTTCATGTCTTCTCTCTTGTGAGTGTGTTTGCAGAGACATTGCAGAGATTGAAAGTGTGTACCAGATTTTTGCAAAAACTTCATGATTGCCATGAGTTGAGACAAGTAGAACAGATTAATAATTGACGCAAAAAAGAAATCGTTGCACGTGGCCTCCGTATCTTTATTGTAGAAAGAGTTGCAATATCTTAATGTGACTGTGCAGCTATGAATTGCGACAACACTGTCCTCAGGAATAGCAACAACTTTTCTTGGAATGAACTCTGTTGTAAGCGGCGGCACCCTCTGTGTGTCTCCCTTTTTGTCCATCGTCTTCTTTGCGCCTTCCATTTTGAAAATTGTTGCAATTGTAAAAATACCACAGTGATTAAGCTGTCTCTATATGTGAGGCAAATTGCTGTGTACATTGCTGCGTACCTATGGTCACGTAATTGAACCCGGTTTTGTGAGGCCACTTGAGGCATCGCTAAGTTTTACTGGCCACGTACCAAGAGATTGTAAACTGCGCTGTAAGTATTTTTATGCATGCTTCTAGGAGGAAAAACAGTAAGCCGTCTCTGACGTGATGTTCCCGATTCCTTTTTTTTTTTTTCAGAAAGACCACTTGATTTGGAATCTTCAAATGTTGATGTCAAGGTACAAGCCACCTGTCCCAAAACACATGTACGAGCTGCAGTTCGTTCCAGTCATCTCTGAGGGTGTGCCATTGCCAACAAACGATAGGTGCGATGCTCAAGTTATGTTTTGTCATATGTAAGAAATTCTTTTTTTTTCTTTTTCCACTATATATGAGAGGCAGTGGAAGTGCTTGGTAGTGTAAAAGGGTCTCCACTCGTTCATTGTTGGGTGCCAGTCAAGAATCTTGGGTGGTAGTCACTGCAAAGTATACAGTGAGTGTATACTGTGACCACCCTTGTTTTTCCTCCACTTATATCAATAGTGAGTTATTTCTTGTTTAGCTCTATTCGTAACTTCATATTTGAGCAAGTTTTTTTCTTCGCATGTTGTCTTCCTCGGTGCCCGATCTTGAGTAGTGCAGCACAATATCCAAGTTAATGTGAAGATGTGTAATGTCATTTTTAGTTTTTTTTTGCCTGCCTATTAACTCGTTGCACTGAGAGAAACATGCGCTCTTGTTTTTGCAGACGTGAGATGAACAGCAAGGAGACGTTCAAGCCACACCAATTGCAGTGTTCCGGGCCATGCTGGTGTGACAATGAAGCTACTGCACAGCTTAGTGTTGTAAGCCCCAGCCATAATGCTATCCAGTGCACATTTTTTGCTTATTCTGCCTTTTGTAGTGGCTTCTATGAGAAACTGTGCATGATTATGCATGTTATTATTAGGTGCTGGTTACTACATGGACAACTCAAATTAAATGCTAATACAGTATTTCCATAATTCTCTAAGAAATCATTATACTGGCCATCCAAACACTGTTAAACATGGATGGATAGTATGCTGAATCAAGTGTAATGAGAGTTTCATGGTTTACATTACCTCTAATATAAAAGGACTAATAAGTGTTTGATGCAAACAACCCTGTCTATGCCTATACGACTTCATTTCTTTTAGCTTTGTGATCATAAGCACTACCAGCAGATAAAATACTGTGCAATTCGAAGCACATCCTTGACCTCTAAATGCGTTATAGATGAAAAGTGAATCACTGTTCACAAGCATGTTCAAAGCCCAACAACTATCTTTTAGGTTGAGGGTGACAGCTTGGTGAAGGACACTCAAATTTGTGTAGATTTGTGGTTAAAATTAAATATTTACTTTCTATGAAATGGGGCGAGTCAAGCGAGGCCTGCGGGTGAATAAGCACCTCACTCCACTGAGCTAAGTTCTGAGCAAAGCCTACGTGCGTGGCAATACAAACAGGATTGATTTTTAAGAAAAGTGCTCATGTGTTTTTAAATGAAACACGTAAATGTCTCACCAGAATGACCCAGACAATATTTCCTTTAGGTATAGTGCATGTTATATATTTTTTTATATTCAAGAGAGACTTAAATGACCGCAGCATAAAATTACAGACAAAGCTGTCCTCGTTGTGGTGGCATGTTCTCTAATTTTCAATGCTGTAACAATATTTACTTATCAATGGTGATGCAAGTGAAAACATCTGCTTTATGCTGGCCGCTGCACTTACAATTGTATTTTTTCTGTATTTTAGCCACTGCATTAATGTTGTGCTGCTAGTTAGTTTTTTATAGTGCTGTTTTTTATGCATTGGTTTGTGGCTTAGCCGTTGTGCATATCGTTCGATTCGCTATATTTCTTGCATTCATTGATTTTTTTGTCCTGCATAAACCAGGGCGGATCGGTGATGCGGTATGTTGTTGAGATTAAGGTATCAGCATGGGACAGTTCTGACCCGAGAAACAGTGCGTTTAATAAGAGCAAGATGGGCATCCACCCCATGTTTGACAACGAAGAGGATCTCTGCTTTGTGCGCCTTCAGGGCAGCAACAAGCGGGTAATTTCACATCTATGCCTTCACATTTGGCGGCTTGAACTCACTCAGAGTGCTAATGGTTTCAAGCTACTTGCTCAGAGGTTTATTTGAGACTACTAGATTTATTTACTTGGGTGGGTGTCGAGGCATGCTGATTGATACAATTCATTAGAATACATGGCACTTTACAAACACACATACACAGGGCAAGAACAAGGATGGGCGCTGTTCTTGCTCTTGCCCTATGGATTCTAATATATTCGTGCATCATTGTCAAAATTCAATGCCTTTGCACGATATGTTTGTTTTTTGAGAACTAGATAATGTTGCTTATTATAAAGGCTGCTTAACATGTTTTGTGTGGTGGTTTTTGGCACAGTAAAAGGAGGAGTTGAAACGTCCACGGTGCAAGGAAGTGTCATTGTTACCAGTACAACCCCTCCCTCGTTCTACGTCAATGGAGTATTAACAAATATTTTCAATACCACATGCGTTATGCACATTTCAATTTAATACAGAGCTTGACTATGAAATGCAGACCTCTCGTCATTACCATCATTGTCACATATAACACATTGCAATAAGATTTGCTGATCCCATCCAGAAGCATACCAAGCATGATGATGATCCTAATAGATAAAGTAATAATACTTAACCAGTGCTGTGGACATTTCTTCTGGCTTTTGCACTTGCCGACAGCATCTGATACCAATCACAGGAACAGAGCAAACCAGTGTATTATGACATCACGAAGGCCTTAATTTGGATACCACAGACTAAAATGTGCTGTCTCCACCATTGCATGAAATACTAGGCCTGTCTTCATAATTTGATGAAGACCTGGGCTTTCGTTGTATATAGCAGTCAAGTGCATGGAGAATGGAAGAAATGTCACAGTGTGTCATTGTTTAGCTCTGAAAGCACTTGAAGTGGTTAGGCTTTGTTTCAAATAGAAACTTTTGCTGCATTGCTGGTCATAGTGGCTTGTTTTGAATATATGTGCTCATCGCAGTAAAGTAAGCAGCTTCACAGGAGGTCAGTCTTTATTTTTGAATAGTTCAAAATTCTGCAAAATAAACTGCAGCGTGCATTTTAGGTTTGATTGATTGATATGTGCTGTTTAATGTCCCAAAACCACCATACAATTATGAGAGGTGCCGTAGAGGAGGGCTCCGGAGATTTAGACCACCTGGGGTTCTTTAACCTGCACCCAAATCTGAGCACCTGAGCCTACAGCGTTTTCACCTCTATAGAAAACGCAGCCGATGCAGCCGGCATATGATCCCACGACCTGCTGGTCAGCAGCCGAGTACCTTAGCCACTAGACCACTGCGGCGGGGCATTGCATCTTACACCAGGACTAGCAATAACTATAATTTGCTAGTAGAAAAAGAGTAAACACAATTTACAAAGAACAGTCATCAAGAAATTTGCCTCATGTAATAAATTACATCTAGTCACATTTGCCTTTACAGCGCTGAAATTGCATGCTTCAATTTGTTGCCGTTATCAGTTTCTGAAGGCATCTTCCCCCCCCCCCCCCCCGTTTTTTTTGTGTGTGTGTGTGTGTGTATTAGTGCACTCTGCAAGACGTCGCTGACATGACCCATCAAGAAGTTAGAGGTTACTACTGCTCCAAGTAAGTTATATTGCTTGTCAAAAATGCTGCTTGATTTTTTTATGTACTAATTTCCTGCTTACGATTATTCCAGGACAGGCATTCAAAAGCCCCTAGAGTAAACCTTGACGGGCACCGCATAGCATTAGGTAGTACGTTGCATTGCCAGTAGAGCTTCACATGCCCCACCTGTGAAGAAAAAGGCCTTGAGGAAGATTTTTCTGCAGTACTTCAATCAAATATACTTGAGGCCATTGCTTCCTGAGGCATCGAATGTTGTGCTTTGCATTTTTATGCTGCATTCCATTGTATATGATCCTTGGCACCAGTCTGACCCGGTGACCTCAGACTAATTAAAGTATTCATATTAAGAGGTAGCTCTGTGACATTTTAACTTAAGTATAAGAAATTAAGTTTATGATTACTGAAACCAATAAGGAACTGTATATCACAGAGTGTGACCAGAGTGGCCACAAGCTAGTCGTGCCTAGTCAATGGTACTCTTTCAGTTGTGAAATTCTAGTCTTAGGTACCTTAGCATATTATAGATTTTCGAAACCTATGCTGTTCACATGCAAAAAAAAAAGAAAAATAACACCCCGTCTTCATGCTTCCAGGAGTATTTTATACATTGCTAACTTGCTCAATTTTGTGTTGTGATGATGGAAGTAGCTTGCAAAGGGCAGTTTTATTAAAAAGTTTGAAATTTTCCCAAAATGCATATCAAATTTTAACGTACAATCCGTTTAACATAAATTTGGCATATCTTATTTTCACGTTAAACATTTTACCTCTTGTGCAAGGTTGTGCTATGCGAGATGTATATCCTGGTTTGCTTTAAAAAGACCGTTCACTTGTAAACCAACATGAGACCTGCAAATTTATACCCTTTATATATTAAATGCATAGCATTTAGGATAATTATTTTGCAAACCATAGATATTGTGATTTAAGGCAAAAGGAATTTTGTGTTTACAAGTACAACCTCTTATTAAAGCTCTACTCGCAGACCTCGCAGCTCTACTTCTCCAATAGTCTAGATTATTCAGATCCTCTCCACAAAATCAACAATGTGACATTTGTATATTGTACAGTTGACTTTAGCTGGAACTTCAGTGCCTGTGCCTGATGACAGTGTTTTGGCAGTATAAGGTATACATTATTGGTAAATACTAAACATATTGTGTACTTCTTCCATCACCTTGCGATTCCTGCAGTGTCTGCAGTACTGCGGACTCACCTTTTCCTTAGCATCTCCATTACGTAGTCCTTCCCCCGACTTTCTCTTGCCACTTAGCGCAAGGATCACCTTGGTGTTGTCTGCCATTGCCGCCAAAGAACGAATTCACTTGGAACGTGTTCATGAACATTTTAAAGAACTAAAGAGTTGTGCATCAAAATGAGATCACAGGTGTGAAATAAAATAATGTTTTGTGTGTTTGCACTGCTTTTTTGTGTTTCTTGCATCCGTTTTGGTGCACAGTACTATATTGCCACTGAAAGCATTTATCAGATGTATACTTTCCACACAACATAAGGAAAATAATTTTTTTAATATATGGGACGCTGGGTAAGAAATGAACAGGTAAGCCTAGCCACTGCAATTTCTTGTGCCTCTTGCCTCTGAAATTTATAGCTCATTGTCAAAGATGCGATGCTTGAGCTTGGGAGCAGTTATATGCAGAACTAAACGGCTGAACGAGGCGAAACTCCTGTTTGCAATACTTTAAATAATGACACATTCTAAACATTGAGTGCGCCCAATAGTATGTGCTGTTGTACATTCCAGTGCGGAAGTAGGCGAAAGTAATAGCAAAATCGCTTCATAACTGAGTTTTATTTTGCGAGTAATTGGCTGTTAAATAGAATTAGCCGTGAAGATGCTGCATATGTTACACCAGCCGCACCTCTAAAAACAGGAATTTAAGTGAAACCATCGTTATTCTTTAGGTAAGACGGAACAGTAGGACGATACTAAACCACCGTTACACGTAAGTAAGTTCAGTAAGCAGCATTGTGTGAAGAAAATACAATGCGAGAAGGAAGGAGTGGTATATCTTTGCTATCGCGGTGAAGCTGCCTTTTTTATGTATGACAAGAAATACGTGCAACTAGCCATCACCCGCTTGAGGTCGCACAGTAGTCGGCATAGCAAGAGTTTGGTCACTCACTATTTAGTGGAAGGTGTCAGTCCTTTCTTTGCGACTCGGTGAATTGGTCAGTACAAAAACCCAGAACCAGCACAGCGTTGAACCACGAAAACTAGCATGGAAAGCAGGAGCCCATGTGAAGTGCAGCTGCACACCATGGTCCCCTCTTCCGCAATAAGCATTGTGTTTGAAGTCCAGCGCTTGTTCTCCTTTACTGTCTTCGCGTCTTTCGTGGATTTCCTCTTTCAATATTACGAAGCAAATCGCACAGCAAGCTGCGTTAGTGATGTCCTGTTTTAAGCATCGTTGTGACAAATCAGCATCTAGATCTAGTTGGATATAGAAAACGGGCGAAGCAAGGCGCAGATTACACTGTTTTATTGTCTGGCGAGTGCATGACAAAGCAGAGGAAACATAAGACATCACACTCCGACAGTGCTTTGTTTCCATGCATTCGTGTTCTGTGCAGTACTTCACATGAATTTTATGGCGATCCCAATCTTGCCCAATTGTCGACCTTGATGAACCTGCCAACTGGATCGTTTATTTGATACATAATTCATTTGTTGTGTTTGCTCCTTCCTTCATTAAAGGCTGTGTTCCAATTCTTTGCCTTCTTCTAAATATGTATGCCACAAACAGCTGGCACTTGCTCGTTTAGACCATAGTTTCCTCAAATTAACTAGAGGGGACTCTGGTGCTTCGATCGTTCAGCGACCATGGGCCTGATGGGGCAGTGACTGCCACGACCGGGTGAAAATAGCGCAAACGCTATGTTAACCCAACTTGGCTTGGATCCGTACAAAGCTATGGCTTTTGGAGAATGGTGGGTCAGGCAACCTGAGGTTCTCTCGACGTGCGGCGTGCATGCATGCGTGCGTGTGTGAGATGAGCTGTACGCGATCGCAAGCTGTAAACATCTGTGTTGTGCTGAACGTGTGCTGATTGCGGTGTCCTTGTAGAGGACGTGGGCACTGCGATTGAGCGTATCGTTGCCCGTGTGCTGGACGAAAGTGGACAGTGTTTGCAGCGCTTGAACTTGCACTAGGGTCCCTTGCACTAGAGACGATATTTGCACTGTCACTACGTGCTTCTGCATTATTTTTGCGATTGCTAATATTTGATTTTTTTTTGCGTGTGACGTGGCAGCGTTCGTTGTACAAATTTTACTGAGCATGAAAGTATGTTTTTCACTGTGCTTGATCATATGCTTCGGCAACTTGCTTTAGACTGTTTTGCTGCATGCTCATAGAATGTATCAATTAATTAATGAGTGGAATTGCAGCCATTTTATTGGTCAACGAGGCCGATTTTCTGTCTCGGTTAAGCCATGCAAGTATTACACGTTGTAATTTCGATTGAGATCCTGATCGTGATTGCAAAATGCAGAAGTGAGTCGTTCCTGCTTGAAAAACACAAATCGAATTGAAAGAGCCTGTATGGCTCTACTCATTCCTCATGCAGCTGCATACGGTCATACGATCGATAGCTGTACATAAACAAGTGTTCGACGCCTAGGTATGTAGTACATGCTGCTTGCACCTCGCAGGTTTTTTTGCCTGCGCGTGCCTCATTTTCCTGCGAGGAATGGCGCCTTTGTAAGCAATAAACTAACTAGTATCAATTCCTTTCCGAGATAAAAAAAACAGATAGGCATCTGTTTTGTTTTTTCTGTAATTGGAAAATAAGCGAATTTTTAAGTAAATAAAAACTTTGTCCGTGTAGGATGACAGCAAAAAAAAAGCACTGAAAAAAATGGTGACTTCTTTTAATGTGTAAAAATGTTGTACAGTGACATAATTTACAATTTGAGACTTACATATATCATTGAAGGAAGGTGACTGTGGTGTATTTAGCAAAAGGTACTAAATGGCATTAAACATATGAACAAATGTTATACACACAGATGTATGTTCAACAGTTGCATATGTTTTATATAACCAGCTGTTTACTTGCATAATGATGCCAAAAGCAACACGAGTGTTATCAACATTAGCAGCGGTAAGCTGATATGTAGCGCTTGCGCTCTCAAGGGTGAAAGCCCCCAACACTGCTACATTAGTCTACCAAAGTGTATGGCACTTGACTACAATCAACGTGAACTGGTCATGCCGGCTGCATCATAGGAGTGCATGTGTAATTTTTAGAAAATTCTATAGTTAGCATTGCAACTGCAATTGACCTTTCAAGCAACATTGTGCCCGAGTGGTGCCTATTTCCACAGCAGTGCCGGGACCCGGTGTGGTTCTGTGGTAGAATACTTGATTGCCACGCACACTGTTTGATTTTCATCATGAGTGAGTTAAACCACTGTGAGCACTCATCAACAGTATTTGGGCTATGAAGTGGTTTTTCTGCTAGAAAAACAAAAAAGTCATGACCACCCCCCCCCCCCCTCTACGGTGTTACTTTTGGTGACCGCCACCCCCCCCCTTAAAATGAGTGGCGGGATCCGTCCATGGCTTCACATACATCAAGTTTGGTGTTACGTGACATCAATAGATGATGAAGGTATGTGACTGGTACAAACATTGCAAACATGACATGCATGTCATATGAGAACATGACATCATACCGTGCTCTTGATGCAATCGCAGCCGTTTCAGTAGCTTCACATATAAGAAACTTGGTAATTATGCGACATAAATGGACGTTGAATGTAAATGACACGTCCAAACATGATAATCATGATATGCATGCCATGTAAGACATAACTACATGCTATGCTCATAGCTGACTCGCGGCCGTTTCGCTAGCTCCACATATACCAAATTTGGTATCACGTAGCGTGAATAGACTATGAAGGTAAATGACATGTCCAAACATAATAATCATGACATGGAAGTCATGCTCAGTATAATTTACATCCGTTTCATAATATTCTGATTTTAAGCAATATATTCTCATTAGCCTATTTCTCATTTTCTGCATTCACACTTTAAGGCCGTAGACCTTGTGTGCATTATCTAGAATTGCACATGTATGCCTGGGAGCCACCTACAAAGTGGGTTCTTATAGGCCTGGGCTACCTTCGGTGTGTCCTAATCCACTATTTGTTTACAATGCTTCCAACTTACAAGTGCACGTTCACTCTTGCCTTCTTGCTAAATGAGCTCTATTTCATACCTGTCAACTTCATAATAGGATGTGACAGTATTGTGTGCCCTAAAATAAAGTGATATTCATACCCTGGTTTTCTCTTGGCTCTGTTGATGCCAGGGATGCATGCATAGTCCTTGTGCAGCTCAAGCCATGTAGTATGAAACACATACACAAAGACTCTCTTCTTCAAGGTAGAGGCACGTATAGGATGGACTAGAGATTAAGTGACAAATTGCTAAGGGGTTCTTAGGGCGGGGCCTCTGTTCCCGTGCCTCTGCCACTTTTAACTACAATTAAGTTTTTACTAACTCAAGAATGAGCAGAGTTATGCGTTTGTGTTAGCATGGAAGCATATAAAAGCAGCGAAGACCAAGGTGAGAAGCAATATTGGATCTTTACCATTCTCAAAATAATTATTTCTTTTTGTGATTGATTTCTCCAGTCACTCTTCAGCATGTGGCTATGCCAGGCAATCTTATGATGCAAAACAGTGCCAAAATATTCTGTGTAAAGTTAGGGCATTGTTTTCCGGGGCACACTTACCTAGTGTCTAGGCTACATTAGCATTGGACTGGATTAAGTTGTGCATTACTTGATGGGAAAGAAATTTAATAGCGCCATAAAGGAAAGGTGGGTGGAAATAGACACAACATATGTGTCTTTTGCCTTCTATTTCATCTACTGTGCGGTTTGATAACTTGCTAAAAAATCCATATTCAGTAGTACACCTGCAGTGTGGGCTACCATGCACAGTCTGAACAAGTGCTTCACAAAATTTGAAAGAGTCAATGATTTCAGAGTACGAGAGTAGATTGATTGATATGTGGGGTTTAACATCCCAAAACCACCATATGATTATGAGAGACGCCACAGTGGAGGGCTTTGGAAATTTCGACCACCTGGGGTTTTTTAACGTGCACTCAAATATGAGTACATGGGCCTACAACATTTCCGCCTCCATCAGAAATGCAGCCGGGATTCGATCCCGCGACCTGCAGGTCTGCAGCCGAGTACCTTAGCCACTAGACCACCGCAGCGGGGAATTACGGGAGTTGAGGCACCACATCTGGCATGTATGGGTTACGTCATTGAAAAATAAGATGAGTATACTACACTTGCAAGAAAGTTAAAATAATGTCAGCAATTCTAAAGTTAGAGAGTAAGGACAAAGGTTTCCAGCGCTATATATGTATTGGTGAAAAACATTAAACACACCTTTCTGAGAAAAATGGATATTCTCGGGAACTGCAGGATTATAGGCACTTTTTAATTTGTACTGAGGATGATCTGAAAGTATGGTACGTCACATATAGCTCGGCCGATCTAAATATTGCACATACACATCTGCACTTCACAGCAAAAGTTATTGCAATGAATTGAGCCAATAAAGTTTTCATTAAATATTCGTTGCAGCTACAGAAACATGGCTTGTCGTGGGTTTTCTTTTTGAGCCTAAAAATATGTTACCCAAGATGTAGATTCCCACTGCAAGTGAAACAAGTTGTGCAAAGCCATTAATGACGTTTACGTGAACGCGTCAATGAAGTCTGCAGCAACCATAGCTTCCATGGCATACAGGCGATAATTCACTGCATATTATATTATAAATCCCAGAGCCGGCCCACATGAGAGCCACAACTGTAGTTTATAACAACCAAGTTGATTGTATAATTTTTATTATTGCTTTTGCTGCAAGAGTGGGCACGCTCATTTTTAGGCCTTCGACTGCCATGGCCGTATCAGAATCTTTCGAAAACTTCTACTAAATTGTTTTAGACTATTTGCGCCCACGGCACGAGTAGTCTAAATGCAAGCCTCCAGGATAACGATGCGTATTTCATGAAGTTCTAATCACTCATCTTTGTGGACTAGAGATTGTATTAAACATATCGTACAGTGACTGGACGCATTGGCGGGCTAGTTTATCATACTTATATGCGCAATAGCTCGAGGTAACCACGTCACATAACCACAAATTCGGTTTCTAAAGATAGCACTGACTCTAATCTAGAAGCTGGAGTCGAAATTACACTGATTTGACTCGATGTGAAAGCGGTGGAAACAAAAGTATGCGTGTTACTTAGCCCCAAATTGTCCTGTTTCAATCTGACAAAGTGCTGTACATGCAACTATCTTTATGTGGATTCACACTTGAAAAAGCACATGAAAATATCACTTTGATGCGCACGAGGTGTTAATTCTAACTGGCATGCTTGTTAAGAGCCACATCTAAGAGGTGCGACACAGATTTTGACATATATATTTAACTTTTGACTAGCACACCTTCGATCAATGCTCATGCATGCAGTTTGTTTAGAATTTCGCATCAGCCGCAGCTGCGATTATTTATGTTCTGTTCCACAACATACTTAACTTCAAAGATCGAAATTAAAGATATTCGCCTTAGTTGTTTTAAACTTTCAATCCGACAAAGTGCTGTATATGCAACTATCTTTATGTGGATTCACACTTGAAAAAGCACATGAAAATATCACTTTGATGTGCACGAGGTGGTAATTCTAAATGGCATGCTTGTCAAGAGCCACATCCAAGAGGTCCAACACAGATTTTGTCATATATATTTAACTTTTGACAAGCACACCTTCGATCAATGCTCATGCATGCAGTTTGTTTAAAATTTTGCATCAGCCGCAACTGCGATTATTTAGGTTTTGTTCCACAACATGCTTAACTTCCAATATCGAAATTAAAGATATTCACCTTAGTTGTTTTAAACTAGCTGATTGAGTGCTATGCACTCATTCATTTATTTGAATTCACTTTCCTCAGCTATATGTAACCTGAAGCAACACGTCATTTTCATGCAGCATTCACGCGAAAATCAATCATTCTTTTCTCGAATTTATTTTAAAAATTCACTTGTGACAATGTTTCACAATATATTTTGAATGTACATGTTCTGGTATAGATACATTATTTATAATTGTGCATACAAATATAATTTTTGTTCACTAGCACAGTGGTGTTCTCTTAATATTTTAATTATTGGTATATATGATCTATATATATCATGTTAACACATATGTGTGGATCTGTTCGATTTATCAGAGTACTCTTTTATTTCCACATAGAAATTATCAAGTTTTTTTTTGCATATATGTGCACGCCTTTTTATCCTCCTGCACATATCTTACCTTTGATGATCTAAAGATCAACACTGACATTTGTCTGGACATTGTCATGTTAAAATAACCAATATTATTTCTTGCCATTCTTGGGTAGACGAACTGTCAATCCCCTGTGGCACATAACCGCATACTGCAAATATATGTGTGCCACACATCTTGAAGAAAGGGTTTGAGGACAAAAGCGACGAGATTGCGGAATTATTAAGGACCATGCGCGCAATCATATTCCTGAAAGCATCTTACTCTCCCATACTAATTTGGTTTGCCCAAAGCTAAGGGATAGATAGATATAGACAGACCATTGAAGTTAATTTTTCCTTCTTAGCCAAATGAACGCTTAGTCAATTGAATTTTTTATAACGTTATCAACTCAATTTCCAGCCCTGCTCGGTTATAGGTGTACATATAAATCAACCCTTTACTGCACGATTTTTTCTTTTGCCGTGAAATTATTTATGGTGTTGAGAACCATAACAATAACTCTACTAACAAAAAAATTAACCGTACTGGACTGTTAGTTTTTAATTGAAGAAAAAGGGTACGTTGCATTTTTACAACAGTGCGCGCACACAGAAAAAAATCGAGAAGAAACAGACCCTTTTCATTTCAACTGTAATGTTTATTTACAAGACAGTCGGCGAGGGGGAACAAATGCTACAATAGATAGCTATCTCACTTGATTCCTAAGAAAGGTTTGTTTTATACCAACCTTTACTGATTACTGCTATACCACTAGAAGTAATCAGTAAGTAATCAACAATGGTGCACTCATTTTGTTGTGTGGTACAAAAAAAAGCAATTGCTATTGTTTGTCGAACAGAGGTGCACTTCACACTTTACGCAGTAGCTCATGCAGATTCCCGTGCAGCCTGGAAACTTGCAGCGCTGCCGCTTCTGGCTCCAAAGGACCCAGTGACCAACCCGAGGAAAGAAATGACAATTATGAGTCCTAAGACAAAGCTCCATAGATGAGAAATAATACCTGATCAAGCCGGACATCTTTAGTTGGAGCTGTTGCTCCACTTTTTTTCTTCTCCTGAGAGGCTTGTTCTATTGACTCGTTGCTAGGCCTTCCTCGCTTCTTCACCACAGTCTTCCCAGCCTTGCAGAGTGATGCAGCCAGGTCCATCTTGAAGTCAGCCAAAAGAAGAAGCCTTTCTGCGTACTCATCTCGTTTGCTCAAGGCATTCCTCTTGTAGAGCAACCAAGCATTTACAGCTGTCAAGTCAAGGATGTGCAGAAAAACACGAAAATAATATCGCTTCGATCTCAGGTAGGGACGGTAAATGGAGATGAGGGAGTCTAAAAGGTCTACACCGCCCATGTGCTTGTTGTAGATGGTGATAACTGCAGGGCACGGTATCTTACTTCGCTCCTTTTTCTGACGATTGTACCTTTTATGCCCTTGCAGCAGGCTCTGCTCCAATGAAGGAGGATAGAAGGGTCACTGCTCGGTTATCTTGCCACCTTGTACACGACAGTTCAATTCCATCCACAACTGCCATCCTTTCTTCAAAGTGTCCTCTCCCCCTTTTTTTTTTTATTTTCTGCTCACCAGGCAGGCTCACTCCAGGAACCCGGTTTATCCGCACTGTTCCAATGCAGTGAACTGAGACCTTCTCAAGGTACACTTGCAAACTTGGGCAGTTGAAATAGTTATCGAAGTACACTTTGTGGTATACGCCTCTCGGAACCGTTCTACACAAGCGAACAACGACATTTCCACTCGCTCCACAGTCAGGCTCCCCTGAACGTCTTTGCGCCGAGTTCTCCTGTCCGGTATATACCTCCAATTTGTAGCAGAAGCCGCTTACACCGGAGAGCACGAAAACTTTATAACTCCATTTCTTGGGTTTCTTAGGACAGCACTGCTTGAGGGAGCTTCTACCTTTGAAGGGTATAATCTGTTCATCGATAGATAGATGCTCTTCAAGAGGCACAAGTGACAACTGTTCATTGATGATATCAATCAGAGGCCGCACCTTCGCAAGCCGATCTCTTCCTGAAGCGTCATTTGGGCCGAGAGTACTATTGTCTACGAAGTGGATGTTATGCTTCAGTTTTTCGAAGCGACCCACAGGAAAGTTGTCTGCAACTTGGCTAACCCTGGTCACTGCGCTCCAGTACCACCTTGTGTTCCTCATTTGAATGATCGACATCCACATGCACGTTCCAATAAACACTTCGATCTCTTCTGCAGTAGTACAAAGGGGCTGACTCACGTCTTTCTGGAGTGCAAACAAATTGCTCTGATCTGCAATTAGTGAAATCAGCGAGCCAGGGAAGAGAAACTTGAAGTATTGGAATGGTGTCTCTAGTTCTGCAATGAACTCAGGGAGTTTACTTTGCCCGGAGAACTGAACTGTCTGTGGATCTCTTATAAGATTCGCCTTCTTCCAAATCATGCGTCTTTTAGCTAGTGTGGGGTGGTGGTCAGATGTTCCCCCATTTGGTGTAGCTTCGTCCTCGTTGAAGCATGCACTCGACTCGTTTGTGTTGTCATTTAGGCTTCCGCAGTCAGGTGCGATATCTGTAGTGAAAACAGACAGCAATATGCAGGACCTAAAATTAGTGGTAAAATAAAGTGAAATGCATGTATAGAAAACAGTGTGCATCTGTATGTTTAAATCCGACAAAACCCCTAGGCACCCGTTATAGACAAAAATTTAAAACGCAGAAGCACAGACATATGGGTGCAGCCGTAACGATGCGGGGCAGCCGCGGGCGTATGCACACACAATTATAAAAAAATTCCCGAATTTCACCATGCAACACACTGCACACACGATGAATCGAAAACACTTACACTCTGGATCGTCGTCACTATCAGAAAGTTTGCTGTTTTCACTATCAGAAGGGATTGCTCGGCCATAAAAACGTTTAGGATCCATTTCTAGTTTGAGAGAAAAAAACAAACATGATGAGCACGTTGTTGCATATATGCAACATAGCAACTTTTTGTCGCAAGAAACGCACCATTCCGTAAACATAACTTTTTTTGCAATCTACACGATTAGGAGGATGTGCCGAAGGGCTTAACAGCTCTTTCCGCGGTTGAATCCGTCCAGACAAACATTTATAACTTGCAAACCTTACCTGTGTAGCTCCGTGCTGGCGTGGGCAGCGTCCACCATGTTTGTTTGGCAATAGTTGAGCAGAATGAGCACAGGGGGCAGCACAAGACGGCACGTTTTTCAAACTGGTGTTGCAAAAATGCAACAGCATGCATAGAAGGGACCAAATGAAAGTAGCTTTCGTTTTTATGGCTGTTTATTGGTATGTTGCGTAAATGCAACAAGGTGCAGTAAAGGGTTAATAAAACGTCAGTAATTATTTGTACTGAAAGGTGCATGCAATGCAAAATATCTCTTAATTCAAATTCAAAATAAACTTCCCTTATCGAGATGGAAAGCGGAGCTGGAGCTACAGATATTGTCACAATCATAGAATAGCACCGCGGTCATTACACAAATACATATCCACACATGGGGAAGGGCCGATCGTATATGCATTTGAAAACAACATACCATTTGTTTGGCTTCACTGCACAACAAAAGTGTCACACGGTGAAGCTTATTTGCTTTGCGGTAAAGCATATTTGTTGTGAGCATACCGAAAGCGGGGCTCCCTGGTGTATACAACTTGTAGGAGCTTCTTGCGCAAGCTCCCACTAAGTTGAAACAGCGCGATTGAATGGGGACAGAAGAGAACAAGCACATACACCAACACAGAATAAACTTCCTTGCTGCACGATTAGATCGAAGGTGTGCCTGCCAAAAAATCTAACTATATATGTAACGAAAGGTATCCGACCTCTTGGGTTGCTCATGGCAAGCAGACTAATAAGAGTTAACATCTCTTGCGCATCAAATTGATATCTCCGTGTGCTTTTACAGGTGTGAATGCCCACACAAACGCACGGATTGTAACCTGAAAATTCAGGGCTAAGTAACGCACATTTTTTCGTTTCCACCGTTTTCAACTCTGGTCACAACGACGCAATTTTGACTCAAACGAGTAGACAAAGTCAACACTATCTCTAGAGATCATATTCGTGATTACATGCCGTGATTATCTCAAGCTATCGCGCATACAAGTATGATAAACAAACTAGCCTGCCAACGCACTTCAGCTAGCTTACATACTTTATATATAGTTCGATGTACATGTACATCATTCGTCAGACATTCAGAACCGCTTCTCATCTGATTATCTAATTCATGCAGTATCGATTGCCATGTGTGTTTATGACAGTATACCGTTTTATGAGAAAGGTGGCCATATAAGCTGACGTTTAAAGGAGAAACGAGCGTTATCGCGGAGGCTCAGAATGGGAGCACAGTTATAAAAACTGTGTTAGTAACCTGACTTCTAGTACGTGTCATACACACAAATAGTCTAAAACAATCTAGAAGTTTCTCAAACATTCTCGCACTGCCTGCACCGATATATTTTTCATGGTTATATCGATCATATAGAAAGAAATGAGCGAGCTTGGAATATCACCGCTACTGTATACAACCAAATCTCTTTCAACGACTCACTTACAACTTTTCTACACGTAGCCACCGGGAAAATAAACCATAAAAATTAAGTCATAAAATAAACTCGGCTGTTATAATTAATACAGTTGTGATAGTCATGTTGGTTTTACAACATCATGCTGTTAATTATCGCCTGTACTTATTCGATCCTTGCAAAACTTGTTTCCTTTGCAGTACAAGTTCGTTTTGCAACAATACGTCTAGATGTAAAGTGCATCTTCGGTTCTCTCGAGAGAACCCAATATGCACTAAGCATGCAGTTTATGTAGCTGCAATTAATACAAAAAACTTGGTTCCCTCATTTATCAACTGCAACAACTTTTATTGTGCAGTGACGGTGCACATGTACGTGCACATTACACGTTAAGAGATATGTGACCATACTTGAAGTCATCTGCAGTATTAACTAAACATATACTACTGCAGTTCTCTGCAAACCTGATTCTTTTTGAAATGTATATTGAAAGTTTTTTACCAATTAAATACCTAGCATTTAAAAGATTTTACTTTTTGAAGGGACAGAAGTGTATACCTATGGGCTCGTTTTTCTGTGTTTTGACACAATATTATTGAAATCTAACAGAACATTATATATATATATATATATATATATATATATATATATATATATATATATATATATATATATGAGATCTAACAGACAATAATGCCAAGGAATGTATAGGGGGAGTTATTAGAACCAATGAAATGTAAATAAGAAGAAAAAAATGGGCGAAAAAATAATGTGCCGTGAGCAGGAATCAAACCTACGACCTTCGAATAACGTGTTCGATAGGTCTAACCACTGAGCTATCACAGCGGCTATCCCCACATCCACTTTATTTGGTTTATATGTGAATTTTAACGGAGTGTCAGTCAGCATCTGTAGCCATAGTGGCGAGTGTGGAACACCCTTTTCTGAGCCTGTGCGTTGTCACGTAGCATGTGAACTTATTACGAGCGGGCAGCTGACCAATAGTCCCTCGTATACAACATAAAGGCACCAAGTCTGCCAGTACGAGACCCTCGTTAATGAACAAGGGAAAGAAGTGTATACCTAAGGGCACTTCTTCCCTTGCTAGCCACAGGGGCCTTAGTTCCTTTTCTGCTATTTCGATGCACTGCGTCAGTGAGAAGAGATTGTCTTCCAACCTCCTGTGTTTCCGAAACCCATTCTGCAGTTTCTGCCAGCACCCCCTCATTCTCTATCCATGCCTGCATCGCCAACCTGAAGACCACTGATGTCACTGTTATAGGACGGTAGTTGCTTATGTCAGCTTTGTCCCCCTTTATAGATCATGCTCATCCTGCTAAGCTTCCATCCAACGGGGACTTCACCATCGATTATTGTTCTGCTTACTGCCTCTCTCAAAGTCTGTTTAGTCTTCAGACCCAATGTCTTTATAAACATAATTGGAATGCCATATGGGCCTGTTGATGTACTACTTGGAACCCTCTTCTCAGCCCTTTCCCCATCTCGTGAAAATGAAGCCATTGCACCACAAGAACCATCCTCGTCTATTCTGGTGCATGAGGCACTTCTTTGTTGAAATTTTTCTGTCACCCTTGTTCTTATATATACAATAGCTTCGTCCTCTTCTAGCCTAGCACCGCGAGCTGTAGTTTTAAACCTCTGCTCTAGACTTGTTTCATTTCTTAGGGAGTTTAGATGGTTCCAAAATTTTGCACCTGCCTTTCTGTCCTTTTTATGTACTTCTGCCAGCCACTGAGAACCCTTTCCTCAAATATTTTCATTGACCAGGAGAGATGCTTCCCTTATAGAGCTCAGAAAGATGTCCCATTTTCTTTCAACATCGTCTATCAGTTCACCCCATCGCTTAGCATGTCTGTGTTCCCTAGAATCTTCCCGACAGTTTCGCTATAGCTCTCTTAACTTCCTCATCCCACCAACTCTTGGGCTTGTGTCTTCTTTTCTGGGGTGACTTGTCACGTGCCTTAGCAAGCTCTAGCTAAAACAGTCTGATTAGATATATGTATGTCCATACTGTTTTATTATCCTCAGTGATTACTTTCTCAATTTGTTTAGTAGCAATTGCTATTTGCCTTTCTGAATGAAAATTTTCCTGTAGTTGCTCATCTTGTCTCCTTCCCACTTTCACTGCTCTTCCAAAACTTAGCTTGATAGGTTTGTGATCACTACCCAGACTCCTGGAGGCACCTTCGTCTATGTGCATTTTCCTGAGCTTATCATACATCCTACGTGACATCAGTGCGTAATCTGTCGTCGACTGCAGCCTTCCTACGTC